CCAAGGATGCGAAGAGTCTGCAGTGGTGTTTTGAAGACGAAGTCTGGCAGTGCTTTTAGTAAAGGGCACCATTCCATTTCTAACTTAGAAAGGCATGGCATGATTGTAATTTCAGAATCCTCTTTCGTCCACTCTTCCACGCCTTCCCACTCTTCCCAATTCAAGATGAGGCCAAAGCAGAGTTGTTTCAATTTTGGGAATAATATCAGGGGTGGTGATCTGATTCTGAATGAGGTTTGATCTTCCAATCCCAAAAATTCAACACCGACCTTTCTCACTCCTACCATCTCGAGTAGCGTCAGTGTTTCAAGGTACTCCAATTTCCCAAGAGGCCAAAGTTCACACTGTGTCCCCGCAACAACAGTAAGGAATCTCAAATTTTTTAAAGACTGAATCCAATTGGCCCACGTGGTGCCATAATGATACAAAATGTTTAAAGATTCCAAATCTGGATGCGGTCGCAAGGCATTCAGTATTTCTACACTACTACTACTACTGTTCCTCTGCCTTTTAAAATCAACGGTGAGATGAAATAGCTTTTTGTCCCACAATTGTGCTTTCTCAACCTCGCTCTTATCTGTCGCATCCCCCACGAGTTGTATTTCCAGACTTCCCTCAAGGTTCAACTTTCTCAGATCCCCAATTTGGAATGCTTCATCGTTGTTGCCATCACAGTGACACAAATCTAGTGTTTGTAAACTTGTTAATCTCCCTATCACTTTGGGGAACGGCGCCAGACGCCAACACCCTTCAACATAGAGATGCTTTAAGTTAATCAAGTTTCCCATATTTTCAGGCAATTTTTTAAGTTTAGAGCACAGCACAAGGCGCAAGGTTGACAAATTGTACAAACAACAAATAGTGTCTGGTAATTTCTCTAAATCATAATTGCCAGACAAATCAATATGCCTCAAATGTATCAATTCACCAATCTCCTTTGGGAATTCTTTGATGGAATTTCCACTCAAATTTAATGTCCTAAGACATTTCAATTGTAAAATTAAATTTGAGTATATGGTAGTAATTTTTGAATTAAAAGATGCGAGCGTGCGAAGATTTTTGCAATTGTAAGATGAGATAAAAAGTGGAAATGGACCTTCTGGAACATATCTCAAGGTCAAATGACGAAGCTTATCACCCAATACTTTTGATTCGCTGGTAGTTTCCTCTCCATGATCCATAATCAAACATTCATTCTTGGTGAGAAATTGTACAAAGTCATGCACAATATCATGCATTTTGCAACCTGTAATGGTACCAGTGTTCAGATCTTTCTCAAAATTTTGGAAAAATGACCGAGCCACTAAGTTGTCAAAAACTGCATCACCTGTTGTTCCCTTTTCTTTACTCTTTTTTGAAATAACATAGTCTTGTGCCATCCAAAGTTCAATCAAACGATCTCGTTTAAACGTATAATCTTTAGGAAAAGTAGCACAATATAAAAGGCAACATTTAATTGTTGGGGACAAATCATAATAACTTAGTAATAAGGGTTGGAAAACTTCTTGCTCGACCTTCTCTAGATCCCATATCTTACTATTCAAAACTTCTTTCCATTCTCTTGTTGTTCTCTTATTCTGCATGAGACTACCTAAAGTCTTTGCAGCAAGAGGCAAACCTTTACACTTCTTTACAATTTTCTTCCTAATATCTTCAAATGCCTTAGACTCATCTACATCCCCATCAGGAAAGGCCATATGATTGAAGATTGCCAAACAATATTCATCACTCAACCCTTCCAGATTGATCATGTTTGGTGTTGCTCTTATCATATTAGCAACCTCTATTTTTCTTGTGGTGACCAATATTATGCTGCCTTTAGCACCGTTTTGCATTAGTGGTACCTTTAAAAGCTCCCACTTTTGACGGTTTTCAGTCCACACGTCATCCAGGACAAGAAGAAACCTTTTGCCCTGGATGGATTCAGACATACGTTGCAAGACATAATCCAGCTGATTTGAACTCGTGGCGCAATCGGCACTAATATCTTTGGCAATCTTAATCTCATCAAAAGGGTCTGACACACAAACCCATTTTCTGATCTCAAAATGGGCTTTAACATTGTCATCATTATAGGCTAGTTGGGTCAGAGTTGTCTTTCCCATGCCTCCCATCCCTACAATAGGGATGATAAGGAGCCCCTTTTCTTCTTCACTACTATCACCCAACAACTTTCTAATCAAAATATGATGTTCCTTTTCACGACCAAATATCTCAGACATATTGACATAAGATGCAGTTTGAGGTCGTTGAGGTTGTTGAATCCCTAATTCTTTCCTTAGAAACTGGTACTTTTTTCTTTCCTCATAAATCTCAGTTAACTTATCATTCAGATCTTTTATTTTCAGAGCAATGTCACGGCCAACAATCACCGGACTGACTTTGCCAAAAGGAAAGAAATCAGAGAAGCGTACCTTCTTATTGGGGGGGACAAGAGCATTTTGTTCGCTTTCTTGCTTCTCAACTTGTTGTTTGAGAATGTCTGTGTTCCACTCATCCAGCACATCCACCATCTGGTAGGATATATCTTTGAGCTCATCCAACCAGATTTTGACAGCTTGATCGGTCACTTGGCGTTGCTCTGCATCCTCAAGCACAGCTTGAATTACTCGGAGAGTCCGAGTGAATTTGTCAACATCTTCCTTAACGTTCAAAACATGTTTCACCCCTCCTCCTATGTATTCATAGGTTGTCGAGGCCAACCGTTCTAGCAGCAAGGAAATGAGCGCATGAGCCATTATTTTGAGCTTTAGAAAATGGTTGACAGCAGTGTTTATGAACAAGAACTGATTGGAGGATGATTGTTGGTGTTGTGGTGTTCCCTTTCTTCTGCCCAGTTTATATGCTCAGTAAGTCTTCAAGGCAAACTCCAGGTCTATTTTAAGATGCATAACAGGGACACTATATTTTAAAGTGACAAATGGACACTATATTAGAAAAGCGATGTCTAATCTGGGGCTGGTGAGTGTGCCAGACTGTCTTACAAGACAAGATTAACGACGTGTTGAGGCATGGAAGATGTAAACTAGCTTAATAATTGATCTAGTTTTTTATTATATAAACTTGTTGAGGCGTGGAAGACGAAGCATTACCAAGATGTAGTGCATAAATCTCCAACAAGGCAAACATGGCCAAAGAGTCGACTTTTTCCCTTTTTTTTTCCTTCACCTTATACGTACTTCTCTTTTTTGGTTATGCTAACTTTTAAATCAAGTTTATGTTTACTGTTGTCTAGAGATCAATTCACCTTGATGTTTCGTTTAGTTCTTCTAGCCCGTTTCTATAGCGAGTAAGTCATCAAGGAAAACACTATTTTGCTATTCTTAACAAATAACATTATGACACACATGACAACACTTTCACGTGGCATAGTAAAATAGTGTTGTTCCGTAATTCACACATTATTAGATGTATTTGTAATTTAATGAATCATTTTGGTTTTTCTCAATTCATTACATTACACATATGAACAGACCAGAAAATTCTAAATTAATTTCCCAAAGATCAATATGGGGACTGAAGGAAGTTGAGGTTCCACCTTAAAACCAATTGGCAATGGGGGAGTAGCCTAACTCCTTATAAACCCACACGCCCCTGCACGTGTGGCAAACTTTCAATCCTAACACGTGGACAACACATATTGGGTGACGTGAGAGCACGTGCGGCCGTTAGGCCTAACACGTGAAGCCTTACTCTGATACCATGAAGGAAGTTGAGGTTCCACCCCAAAACCAATTGGTAATGGGGGGAGTAGCCCAACTCCTTATAAGCCATTGTTAGGTTTTTCAACTTTTCAATATGGGACTCTTTACCTTCATATTCTCACACACCCCAGCACGTGTGGCGAATTTTCAAGCCTAACACGTGGACAACACATTTTGGGTGACGTAGAGCACGTGTGGCCGTTGGGCTTTCACACGTGGGCAACCTGCTCTGATACCATGAAGGAAGTTGAGGTTCCACCCCAAAACCAATTGGCAATGAAGGAAGTAGCCCAACTCCTTATAAACTCAGACTAGGTCCCTTAAAATTTTAATATAGGACAAATACTCACAATAGGACCACATGTGCTTTTGTAAGAATATCTGCATGTTATGGCCATAATTCATTGTCCAACCACATTGACCTTGAGAGCCCCAAGGAACTATATTATATTTCTCATTAGGGCAGAACATAACTTCCACAACAAAATATTGGCGTGTTTTATGTTGCATGGTCTGGGATTCCTGTAGAAAATTAATATACAAATTTATAAATAAACCCAATCCTAGACATGTATTTATAAAAAAACCCAAGCATTATTTAAATATAGAAACACACCCAAAATCAACCCCAAAGTCAACTTTTTGGGTGTGTTTATAAATGAGTTTTGAGTGTGTGTAATGATGGATTTTGGGTGTGTTTATATGTTTAAATAGTGCTTGGGTTTTTTTATAATTTCAACCCCCATTTTGGGTGTTATGGTTTAACAAAAGGGAAAAGGTAAAAAATAAATGAAGAGAAAACTACTTTCCTTGTGATTGGTAACAATTGATGGTATATGTTTGTCCACTTAACTTTGTGTCAGAACTTTGACACAAAAATAGTTGAACTTTGCATATTTATGAGTTCATACACCTTACTTTGCACTGATCTCAGATCGCCCAATTCATGTATATTTTCTTTAAAGCACTGGTCAAAGTGAAACTTGGAAAGCATGTTTGTATGTTCTAAGCATGTTATTGTTTCATATATTGATTTCTTATATGTAAGTTTAAGGCTGGGGTGACAGACAATTCCTATGTTGGTTGATAGATTGTTGTAAAAATTTACACATTCCATTCCCTATTCCCTATTCCCCATTCCCGTTAAATGTTATTTCATATGAAAACAGGCATTAAGTCTGGAGATCCTCATGATTTTCCAAGGTCTCACAATTGCTTAATAAAAAATAAAAATAAAAATAAAAGGTTACATAATGGAAGTTACCTTAAAAAAAAAATCAAAGGTCACATGGTGTGCTACAAAAGGATGAATTTTAGTAAAAATGTGTTTGCAAACATTATTTATTTTTGGCTTTTTATCACAAAATGTCCCTAACATTTGCGAAACTATCAGAATACATCCTTAGAGGTTTTTTGTATCACTGATGATTCTTAACGTTAATATGAATGCTCTTAAATAGTCCATCAGTCAAAATAACCGTTAAATCCCTATTTTATGAGGGATATAATCGTCAAATCAATCCCTTTTGACCTCTTCAATGCCTTAGACCCATTTGCCACCAATTTGGAACCATTTCCCTCCATTTCTTGTTGGAATCGTCAAATCAAAGTTACCGAAGGCAAACAAAAGACACCTGGGAACTGATACACAAAAAACACAAGAGAAAGCCAAGGTAAGTTGCAAACCCAAATTCACCAGTTCCTCAGAGTACATTTTACGAATTACTGACACAAAGGGAAGTTTTGCAAATGATCAATACACCAGTAGATCAAAAGCTCCATAGACCTTCGAAATTCATCATGTCTCTGTCAAGTTCTCAAGGCTGACTTTTGATGAAAATTATCAAAATTTCAGTAATTGGAACTTCCATAGGCTGATCACTTTGATGGTTCACACCACTCCGTTCGCTTCCATAGAGTCCCTGAAATGATGAACAGTATTAAAATGAAGGAAAGAGTAGAAACTGCTTGTCCAGTTATAGAGAGAGCCTCACACTTTTAGGCTCCCAAAAATGTACTTGGTATTCTTTCAAGTATCTAAAACAACGACTGTTACTTGGGTATTCTAATTCCTTACACATACATAGTCAATCAATTTGCTTATTGCAATCATTTCTCTTAGACATTTTTCAGGAATTAATTTATTTGAAACAACTAAAGCATGCAGATTAAACAAAACAACAAACCTCATATAGCCTTTGAGCAACTTGATGACACTTGAAGGTGAATTAAAATGAAACTTGGGGTCATATTCACTCTTCCCTCCCTCCCATGCCACGAAAAGAGCTCCAGTAACTACGAAAAGAAAATCCTGTGCCATGAAAATTTGATAGGAGACCTAGTGACATTAGAATTTGACAACTAGCAATCACAAATACAAGCATTTATTTAAATTACATAGGATTACTTCACATACTGATGAAAAAACTTACTCATTTTAGGTAAAAGCTTCATCGAAATCAGTCAAACAAAGCAGGACAAGTTCCCTTGATG